TTGTTGTTGTTTCTGATGGTCTTGCGGTTATTTGAAGAGAGGCAGAGCTCGAAACTGAACTGGAACCCAACAAGTTGTATTCAAGTGGCAATTAGCTAGCACCGAAAGCAATCAAGGGGCGAGTTTTGCACTTGCGGTTACAGGGGAGACCAATCCTGCCGCAGGCTGCAGCTCGTGCCTCATGAAATCATAACCGTGTGGCAGGCAGTCAGGCAGACACACCCGTGTGTGTGTGTGTGTGTGTGTATCCTTTGGATTCAGAAATCCTTAGAGTTCGCCTTGTATATTTTATAAGGAGCAGACGGAGCGATTGCATGGCAGGATAAGTGGCAAGGAGACGAAAGAGTAGGGGTAGCAAAACAAAAGCCGAAGTACACGTACCACCTGTACCCGTTCCCGCACCCCCTCCCGCTCCCTAATGCTGGCGAGTGAGCTTTGAATATGTTTTGCGTAGATACTAGTATCTGCCAAATGTATTTGTATCTGCAGCTGGTACGCCAGGGAATGCCCCCTTTAGCCAACGTATGAGCCACAAAGAGCTGCAACTGGAGAGAGAGAGAGAGAGAGATAGAGATATGGAGCATTGTCTGGAAGAGAATTGCTTTTAAAAACTTTACAATTCAATTTGTTGTGGCTGTGGAAGGAGGATCCTTCTCCCTTTTGGCAGTCTGCCGCGTTGGCATGCATTTCAAATTGCATTCGGTATTGAATTTATAAATATTTAATGCTATTCAAAATGCCATGCAACCCCCAAAACAGAACCCAAAGCAGAACTAGAACCAAAGCAATGCCAAGCGTTGGCGTATTAAATTTGTTGGTCGAAACCCCGTCTAGCAGTTGCCGCCTGGAAGTAGTTTTATCTGGTCTCCTTTGGCAAGGGGAAGCAGTAAAACAGATTTAACATAACGACTATAGGATACCTGATACTCCGGACTGGTATTCCATTTGGAAGATTATTTGGCTAATAGGTAATATATGTATGCCTTCCCTAAGCACCCAATGTGAGCGGTACATTTTGGACACTGAGGCTAAAACCTGGCTATGAAGCTATAAACTCAAGCTACAAACACCTCGAAATAAATCCACCCTCTGAATAGGGAGTTAAGAAAATGGTGGGGAAAGTTGCTCGAGCAGACGAAACTTTTTGGGAATTTTTCAACGGACAAGTTACCGGCTCGAAAGTTTGCCGACCGACAGGATCTCCCACTGTTTGCCCGAAGGATTTTCCTAAGCCCAAACCCAAACAAAGCGCATCCCATCGATGTTGAATGTTGAATGTTGAATGTGGAACCACGGAACCAGTTCGTCATAATCAAGTCTCGAGTCAACTTGTTAATCATCCAGCAATTTGCCGCTTGATTCCCGAAAGGGTTGTTGTTGTTCCTTCGCTGGTCTTTAAGCCGCTTCGCTGATTTTTTAATCAGCATATCATAGCAATTGCCCATGGCCCATGGCCCGTCTGACCCCCAGATACCCAGAACCTCCTCTCCAGCTGTCGACATTCTCATTGTAGCCGTCAAGGGATTTGCGTCATCCAATAAAAAAGGATGTCTATACGGACTTTAATCAGCTATAATTATAATTAAAAGAACGCCCAGAATTCTGATTACAATTCAATCCGCACATCTGCTAATTGTTATTCTTGCTCTTCCTTAATCCTTCAAAGGGGTGTGGCCTTTCGTTGTAAAAGCTGCTGATGCTGATTCAGGGAAGATCTGTCCCTGTTTGTGTCTGGTGCTGGTTTCTGTTCTTGCTCGTTTTTAATATGCCAATCAATCTTTGTCGTTGCCGAATTGAAACGAAATTCTTGTGAAAAAACAAACTTTCAAGGAGGAAAATAAGTTTTATACGTAGATGATTGATGAGCGCTTGCCACATGTCTTCTCTCTCTCTCTCTCTCTGCAGCGGAATCGGAGCTGAAATAGAAAATTTGAATGGAAATACTTGTTTTTTTCTATTCCATTCAGTTTGCTCTCTGCTCGCTCTGCGATTGTTTTGTTTTCTTTAACATTTTTATGAGCTGACATTACATTTCCTCTCCATGTGTGGTGTTGAATTTCTCGAAATGGACTCTGGTGGATTCGGTTTCCGTTTTTACACTTTGCTGTGGACACTGTAGTGGCCACAGATTGATGGCTGCGCATTCTCGAAGAATTCTGCCACTGTCAGAGTCGTTGAATATTCGGTCCGACGCTCGTAGATATGTACATGCATATACATACATAAATACATATGTACGTATGTAAATTCTCAGTAATTGTAAAATTGTTGGGTGTAATAGAACAGGCACTTCACTAGTAAAAGGAATAATGGGCACATCATGGTCGAGACACTCCACTTGAGGGTGGAATGCAATGAAATGACGTTGATGGGCATGGGCGCCACTGGCAGGCCCAGAATTTATGCAGACGCCGGAAAGAGAACAACTTGTATCTGGACATTCCTCTCCCGGTATCACAGACTTTGGTCATGCATCAAACATGTGCGACAGACTTTCGTGGCAGTCAGAACTCCACGCGATATTAAATTTCTTTAAAGGCGACAAATTTATGCAAAAGTTGGTTGGTTTGTCTTCTGCGCAATTGTTACGCCCACACTCAGGTGGGAGTGGACTTAACCTGAGTTCTGCTTCGGGCCTTGCCTGTTGCAAGGGAGATGGGGAGCAGCGAAGTGATGTGCGTCGCTTGACTGCCTTAAACATGACATTTATTGTAACTGTCTTCCGCTTCCTTTCCCTGTGCTTGCCACGCCACGCACTTGGAAGTACCACTCGAAGCAGCCGCCTCCTGCCGCGTTGTCACACGTTGATGCTGCCACTGGCTGCTGCATCTGGCAGATAGATGTTGCTGTTGTCGTTTAAGCATTTGATATGCATTGTGGCGTGTCTATATTTGCACATATACATACATAATGTACATACATACACATACTTATGTACATATGCATATATGTATTTTCTGTGCTCTCCATTTGACCAGACGGCGCCAAACAGTCGACAGTCATTGTCATGGCAACATGTTACAGACATTGCTGCAACGGACAAAAAACCTTTAGTACTCTTCCCAGGCCTTCTTTGTTGCAACCCCCCTCCCCACCGTGTGTGTCATTTATTTCAATATATTAAGTGGTGCGAATTACAGGCAATCTTGCGCCGCAGAAGAGCCACAAAGTTTGCTCAAGTGGCATGAAAAGTGCTCAACGAAAATGAATAATTATGTGGTCCCCGCACCCACTCTGTGGCACCTCCTCTGGCCGCTGTCTCTGTTTGCAGCTTAATTAAATGCCTGCGAGGCAATGAAGAAAAACATATTTCTAATGAGCGCCGCTCTTTTTGGGGTTCAATGACCCGTACAGATTAGGTCCTTTTTTGGGCAGCAGCAAATTCTGAATGACATTTTGAGGAAAATTTAATTTGAATTTATTTCATCAACTTATTGCGGTGTCTCTCCCTCTGTTTGTGTGGGGTTCGTAGATTTTGGCATTTCCCGTCATTAAGTTTGCCGCCTGCCGGAGACAGGCACAGGAGAATGTCTGCGCCGATGTCCTTGTCCCTCCTCCAGAGACATGGGACAGAAAGCACCACACCGCACAGAAGGAGCAACAGAGACAGAGACAGAGACGAAGACATATTCCAACAGGCATTATGAATGACAGAAGGCGTAGAGAGAGTGAGAGGGAGAGTGATGAGTGCAAAGGGGAGAGTGGAGAGTGGAAAGAAGGCAGACCGAGCCACCGACATTGAAATGTTGTTGAACTTGCGGTGCTTTGCTGCCTGCCCTGAAGAGGCATGAGAAGTGCTGATAAAGAGCACGGGAGAGGTAGAGGCTGAAAAGCTCAACAGAGACATCAAGGCTTGAGAGGTCTCTCCTGTCCGGTCCGTCATTTCATATTGAATATTTACTTTCCGACATCGATTACCTGCCCGAGGGCACAGTGGGAAAGGCTGAGATACTGTGAATTATATTCTTACGGCAGTACCAGCATTAGTATGTTTTTAACAGATATTTTGCTTGTCCCGCCCCACAGTACGCGCTAATTACATCGGCAAAGTAAATGCGAAAAAGGCGCGCATTAAACAAATTTAAAATGCATTGACTTTTGATGTTAACGAGCATTCGTTGAGCGTGTATCGCTCAATAATGTATTTAACCTAAAAAATGGCACAAACACTTCAAAGTCTGCCCACACACACACACACACACACACACTGATACACAGTGTCTCTCAGACTCATTTGCATTGCCAACAATTAAGCATTTGTTTACAATTCACAATCAACAATAAACAATTCACAATAAAAAAGAGTGAGAAAATCATCATCAGAAGCAACAACAGCAGCAGGAATGGGTACCCCTTGTGTCACCTGTAGCCAGGCACCCTTCTTTCCCCTCGGCCAGGTGGCTAGTGTTATAATCCCACACCCACCCAACGTTAGACTTTGTCTCGTCGCAGTTTTTATGATTTCATTTGGATTTATCGCATTTACAGAAACACAGATACAGATACAAAAGTCTGGCTCTGATGGAGTTGTTAGCTGGCAATGGCTGGGTCTGCTCTGAGGCTCCGAATCGAGGCCTTAGTAAACATAAAATGGAACATTATTCAAATTAAAGGTGCAGCAATGCGACTAAAGGAACAATTTTAAAAGAAGAGTCTCCACGTGAACTACCTTCTCTGCAGTGGAGTTCAGGGGAAGTGGAATTCCCTCTGGAAAGAAGACTGAAAACCCATCAAAACATTATTTGTATGGCATTAATGGAGGGATTTTATTGTGAATGTTTCAATTTATATTTTAAATATTTAACATTTGTATAACTTTTTGGTTTTCGCTGTAGTTTTTCGAATTTCTTGCAGTTGGTTTCTCGCTCGAAAGTTAATTGAAATTTTTAAGGCCTGGCCTGAAATTATTTTCGATGTTGCTGCAGCGCTGATGTTGCAGCTGCCGCTGTGCCGTGTGAGCCACTGAACCGCAACGGGTTGCAATTTGGTTGGGTTTTTTGTATCTCCATTTTTTGCGAAGTTAACGCTTCATTTGCCTGGAAGAGAGAAATTGGCCAAATGAGAGTGCCACTGCCACTGAAGGGGGCAGAGCTGCAAGATGGAAATGGGGTTGGGGATGGGGATGAGGTGCAGCCTGCAAAATGTACGTGTATTTTCCGTACGAGTAATTTATTTTATTTGAATTAATTTCGGGGATTGTTTGCTGGAAACTCGAGAAGCGACAAGTCCAACAGTTGAGCTCTTGGCGAATGCAATGGAACGGGCGGGGGGACAGCTCTGACTTGTAGTATGACAGCTGCCTGAATGACATACTATAAAGCCCGTTGCCTGCCTAATGACGATCATCATGACGATCGTTAGCATCATTAGCGATCGTCATCATCATCAAGTGTCAGACCCCATTTGTAGGAGCTCCTCAGAGAGACAACGACGGCAGTGTATAGAGGCTTACTCGCATATGGGAAATTATTGTAATTCGCTCAATGGCAGGCCCCAGATTCAGATGGGAGATTCAGCCGCCTCCAACCCGCACCTCTCCTTTGCCCCAAAGAAATATACATTTTAATTGAATCGATTTCGCTTTCGGTGCGGCCAGCGATGACATAATTTCCATCTATAGGACGCTGTCTTGAAGTCTGTCGCCTCTCGACCGACTCTCCACCCTCGACATGAGACGTCGGCGAAGCCGAGCCTCCGCTGTATTGTGCATAGATCTATAAATCTCCACAGTTTAGCTCTAGTTTCGCCTAGTTCTGGCGGTCTCTAATGTTCATTTTCATTTGACTTTGATTTATGCAGTATTTTCCCGTCGCTTAATTGTAGTTCTTTCTGTAGTTTTTCGCTTGTTTTTCACGCTCTCTTTTCCAATGGAGAACGTCCACATACTATGTTCTATGTGAGGCAGAAATTCAATTTTAAATCAGATTTTCCTTTAATTTTTTTGCCGTACAAAGGGGTCAGTAAATTAATGTTTCTTTTTTCGAGTCTTTAGTTTTAACTGCGTTAATGAAAATAAATTGCTTTGTTTGAAATCTGTTTAAGTTTGCGCACAGCACCGGAATTCAAAGTTGTTTTTTGCACGTTGTTTTAATGCTTTTTTGGTGACTTTTGTAATTCTGTGAAAAAAAGACGCAACAAAAATAACAACTACAAGGCTGTTAAATGCATAAATTAAACAACAACTAAATGGAATTATTGTTATTTTTTGTGTATATGCACTTGAAATGTGTCCTTTAAAGTTTGTGTAAAAGGGTAATCACAGAGAGACAGACCCATTCGGAAGGGATCCGGAGGTCCATGAAACGGAGGTTTCATGGTACGTACATACATATATCCAGTGTTGGTCCTTGTTTTCCCATTGCAATCGATTCTTATCTAATCCCGACGATCGTTGAGTGGCTTTTGCTTATGGAGAAATAATCGAACGATAATGCTGAGCTTCTATGAGCCCGGCTAAAGCTTTTTTATGGCCAATTCCTATGCAACAGCACAAGGACGATAACGACGACTACGTCATCATTGTCAGCTTTCCCGGTTTGTCCTTGGTTGCCATCAATGTGCGATGGAATTACCAATTTCTGGCCATAAAATCAAAGAGAGAGAACAAGTTGTGTTACGCTCCCCCTTAGTGAAAGTTGCCGCTTGCAATCACGGCTGCAGTCATGGCGATTCTTAAGCTCACTTTATATTCGCCATTATGGCACCAAACTGTATGGATTAGCATCCCTGCAAACTGCATTCTGGAAGTTTCGTTTCCTCCTCTCTTTGTACACGCTCTTAGACAGGAGCAACAATTTCGTCAATAAATATGAAATGTAAAAAAAAGAGACCTATTTCAACTCCAAAGAATGTGCATTGTTTAACACTTACTACTCTGAATGTTAGTTGAAATCAAATACCTAATGTGACTGCCTTGGGGACGATTGACCGTTGGAGGATCGTCTATATTTTGCACGCTTCTGTAGCTGTTGACTGTTTTCAATTTTTGTGAAATTGTTATGCCTATCTTTTGGTGGTTTTTCCCTCTCACTCTCCTTCTGACTCTGTCTACAAAGTTGCCAATTACGCAAAAAGTTTTTAATAACAGCAGCAGCTGCTGCTGAAGCAGCAGCTCGAACTCCATTTCCATTTCTGCTCATTTTGTACCTATGTCTGTCGGTATCTCCTGTTCGCTGTCCACTTTCGCGCTGTCTCAGCCACTGACCCCGTTCGATTGAGCTGCTGCTGCCTCTGTTGTTTCTCCGCTTCGATAAGCAGTTCGTCCCACTATTCGTCCGACACCTGTCGTGCCTTGAGACAGGGGCATACAAGGGGGTCTGGTCTGGAAATGCGCTTTGAACCTGAAAAACGAAAAGAAGAGGCAGAGAAACCAATCAATTTTATGACAAAGCCAAGCGACTGTCAGTCCGGTCCGTTCGTCTCCCTCTGACTTTATTCCCAAATATTCCCAAAATTTAAATATCAAATATTTACAGTTAAAGGCGAAGAATGAGAGAGGAAGGGAACGGACTTTTATTGGCAAGGACCGGGGCTCTATATTTATTGTCTGCAGCAGGTTCAGGTTCAGACACCTTTTATTATTTTTATTTCTTCGATATTAAATTGTGTCTAGAGCGAAATGCCATAAAATCCCCACTTAAAGCTGCTGTGGCAGGCCCCCTAACATCCCCCTGAAATACAGATTTTCCCACGCATATAGCCCCCATTGGACCCCTCTCTTGCGACGACCTTCGCCTTGAATAATGTATAAATGCGTCAGACGGTTTTTGGGGGGCCAGAAAGTCTGCGTGCCGCACATTTCCCAAATAACTCCCACGAGAAAGAAGGAAGGAAGGAAAGAAACAGGACAGTGGTTGGAATGAGGGGTGGAGGGAGATAGGTGCAAGGACAAGGTCAAAGCACCCGGCATGAAAATCGTTGGCATCGGCGAGAAGACGAGAGGCAAATGGATAGGCCTGCGCACGCCCTCGAGTGTGCAGCTTCAGTTTATTAACATTTACGGGTGCCTCCCCACTCTCCCCCACTCAAACACTTCCTAAAGAGGGTAGGGGGGAAAACGTGTATCCTTGTGCCTGCGCCTACGCAAGGGCAAGTGCAAGGACAAGGACAACCAGTCGAACAGGCAGAAAGAGAGAGAGAGAGAGAGAGAGAGAGAGGGAAAGCACTTCACGGCCATGGCCATTGTCACGGCCAGGGCCAGGGCCATTCGAGAGAGAACCAAATGCCGGCCGGCTTTCTCTCTTTAGGGAAAGCTTTGAGTAGGAGCTTCGGAGCCTAGAGGCGCCTGCGTCAAGTCTGCTCTGTCTCCCCTCTCCTATGGAACGAGAGCCCGGTCTCGGGTTTAATGTCCTTTGCAGCCCACGTGTAGATACAGTCGCTGCCTGTTTTGCCGACGAGCTTCGGTTCGGAGCCTCCGAGAAAGTTTGCGCGCCTCCGAAATCCCCCATGACTAATGTGCCGACTAATGGCGTGCCGCCCGGCGGGTCCTGGACCCCATATACAGTCTGTGGGTAACAGTCTGTGTGGGAATTGGGGGAGGCCTAGACTTGTCTATTTTTGAAATTCTTTGCTTTTTTATGGGATACTTTATTGCGTTGGAATTGCTGCGCTTAACGGCGCGTGCTGTCAGGAGGTCCTCCAACGAGTGAGAGTGAGAGAGATGAGGAATGCGGGTTGGGCACGTGAATTCCCAATGAGTTGCGTTGCTGCTGGGTTTGTCCCATGAATAGAGAAGGAAAAATAAGTGGTGGAGAAAGAGGGGAAGCTTTTGGGATATTTTGTTTTTCCATGGAATGTTTATTGCGGAATAAAGATGTATTAAATTGACGAATTTTCAGAAGGTTATTCTCAAACCCATCATTGCCTATTATTATTCTGTAGTGCTGATACGCTTTTCCATTGCTCTCTGCTCAGTCATTATCTCAGTTACTTAATCCCGCTCTTCAGGCAATGCACTGTATTTGCTGCATTTACCGTTACCTCAATTGCAAGTCATCTGTGTTCCCCTCTCGCACAAAAACTACACACGCGACAATCTGCCCCTCGCCCCCGCTGGCAATCGTGTTCGCTCTCTTTGTCTGCGCTTGTAATGATTAATGTCAAGTTTTTTTCCTCTTTCTTCGTCTCCCTCTTCTTTTGTATTTTGCTGGTAGAAAATGTTATGTTTTATATCCATTTGGGATGATACAAAATAATATTATCGATACGTTTCTCGTCAGAAGATGTTTATCCACATATGTATGTATTTTGTTCCAGAAAGTGAAAACCACGTCGTATAGCTAATATAGCAACTGCTTCGAAAGGGTATCCATCAAAAGTTGCAGATTGTATTTTTCATTTTTCAATGTTTTTTGCCCTATTTGCTTTGGTTTTTGTGCAGCTCTCTTGAACGCCACCCCTTCTACTCCTCTCTACCATCCGCGCTGTCTGCATTTTAATTTCGCTTAATGAAAAATTGCAAGTAAATCGCTCCACAAGAGAGCACAAGAAACAGAGGAAGGTGAGTGAGTAAATGAGTCAGAGGCGGAGTTGCTGCAGTCCGACATGAGTGATGAGTGGGACAGAGACGGCCATTTAATTGCCTTGCACTGCACAGCGGAGGAAAGTGAGAGTTTTTTCAGAGTTGGGATGGGAATGGAGTGAGTGCAAATCCTCCCCACGTCCCTCGCGAGCAGTTTTGCTATGTGACAAGTTTTTTTGTTGCTGCTCTTACATTTGGCGATGATTAATGGTTCATGTTCATGCCAGTCGCGTATTGCGGTTTTAAAAAAAGTTGAAAAAACACTTTGGGAAAAAAGTTTAAATGATTTTTCACACAGAAAGAAGAAAAATAATAACAAACCACACTGTTTTTCCCTCTTTGGTTGATGGTCTGTGAGCTGAAAGGTGGTTTCAGGGGATCTGCTCAAAATTAATGAGCCTCTGGGAACAGTCCTTATCATTTATTTCGCGGTCACAAAGAGGTATTAAAAAATCATCTGAAACGTGAAAAAATACAATTTTTTCTATATTGTTTCATTAATTTTTGTTAAAATAATATTTTCTTTGAATTTAATGATTTTGTCAAACACTTTTGTCATTTATTCAAATGGAGTTGAGGATTTGATGGCTTTTTGATAGAATTGCAACAGAGTGGCAGACGCCCCAGGAGGTGAGAGGGGCAAGGAAATCGAAGGTCAGAGATGCAAGATAATTAATCATTTCGTCCACTGTCAGGGGAAGACGATTGAGCACTTCCTGGGCACACTTCTTATGCGGTTTTAATGAGTTTGCGCCCCCCGCTCACCTTTGGAGAGCTTTGATGTACGACACGGGCTAGATTTTCCACACGAGTTTTCCACCGTCTTCCACTTGAGCGACGTCTTCCACCTTGATGCATTCGTTGCCTCGTCACCTGCGATCTGAGTGCATCCATCATGAATGAATGAATGACTGGGTGAATGAATAAAGGGAAATGCTCAAGAAGAGGATGAACTGAAGCTGCAGCTGCAGCTGCGGAGAAGAGGCGTTGGACTGTGAACCTTGAGATTACCTCCTGCCATTCGCCATGTAGTATCGCTGCATTAGCAGCAGCAGCCCTTTGTATGCTTAGCATTTGTAAAGTTTGCATGGTACATTGCAGGTCTCCTCAACTTCTGCAAAATGCAAAGGATGGTAATACCCATAATTTCGGAGAGGGTATGCGATAGTCGAGATACTCATTCTTTCGGTTCAATCTGCTTTGTTATGTTTGAATATTTCTTATTTTCGTGTGTTTGGTTTTGGATATTTCTGGATGTGGATGTTGTTTGCGTTTTTGCCTTTAAGCTTTTATACTGGCATCTGGTAAACAGCTCCAAAAGCACCGCTCCCCTATACGCCCCTCCCTTGTCTTCATTTCTTTTCAGTTCAAGTCTCGAGTCGACAGTCACTTAGATTGCCATTTCAGCAGCTCATTTCTCGTCTCTCGGGTTCGTTGTCTCCTGTCTCCTGTTTGCTGTCGCTGTTCTCTGTTCTGCAGTGCTGTGTGCTATGCTCCTCCTCACACGTGCAAATCCACAAAAGAAGCAAAACGCTAAGGTAGTTTCACTGTCATTCATCATACGCACTCTTGTGCACTTATACAAGTACAATTCTGTATTCAAAGCCAAAAATTGAAGAGTTTGTGCTGAGGGGCAAGGAAAGGGAACAACGGCAAACTTTTTTATAGAGAACAAATCAGTGTAGAGAGAGAAGAGCGAGAGAGAGGGATAGGGCGAGACCCCCTTTGACCACATGCTGCTCTGTCCTTTTCTCTCCTTTTCTCGCACTGTTTTTGCTTGCTCCTTGGGTTCCTTGCTGCCCCTTGCTGTTATCTTCAACGATTTAGTGGCACTTCCTTTCAAAAGCGTCGCCGGTCGACAATGGCAGCAACAACAACAACCTGCCGCATCAAGGGCAGTAGTCAGAATAGCAGCAGTACCTGAGGTTCATTGCTCGTTAAGTTATTGTCACCTTTATAGCCGCTCGACCCGACTCAAGTGTCTGGGGCACAGAACATAGACTTGCAACAGCCAAGTGGCAAGTGGCAAGTGTGCATAAGAAATTTGTTCGAAGTCTGACCATTCATACCCTTGCACCTTCAGCTCTTCATCTTCCGAAACTCCGATAAAAGAGAACTAGACAGAGACTCGACTTTCGTTTCGATTTCTTTTCTTTCGCTGACATTTGCAGCAACTTTTTTGATTAGAAAGGGCCCAGGAACATTCGTCCTTTGTACTGCTGTCTCTGTTTGAGACTTCCGCTTGCAGGAGAAGAACATTTATGCTCTTGGAGCCCCTTCCTCGTACAGCAATTGCTGAAGTTACCCCCATCTAATGCATCTTAATCCCCAATGTAAACGAAAGTAATTCGATTTGAGGCAACTCTCTTTCTCTCTCACTCTCTCTCGTAATTACATTGTATTTACGTTGCCAATTAAACTCGGAGATTCCCTGCTACTGAAACGCTCCTTTGGAGAGCGTTCTGAGCTACTCTCTAGGAGTGCCTTCTATTTGTGGCGAGCATTTACTTTAAGCCACTCTCACAGGATCCCATTTTTATTTAATATTCCAAAGGTCAACTTGCAAATCAATTTTTGGATGCTTTTGAAAGTAGGGAGTCGTTGACATATGGAAC